AGACAGAATGTAATTCTTTGTTAATTTAATTTTAACATGAAAAGCCATCAGTTGTTACTTTGTAGTAGTCCCATAGATTTTCAAGTCACTGACACTATGTTGACTCTTTTTGGATGCTCCCCTCGTGTATTACTGATCAATGCCATAACAAGTTTGTAATAAATAAGACTGTATCATATCAATCATATGAGAGCTAAATCAGGCTGACTGGCACACAGCTTGTAGTAATTTTACTACAAGGTGGACGTATGTAACATTCCTGTTACATTCCCACATCTTACCCTGCAGACTGACATCTGGTTGGTGGTCAGTGTTCCTGTCTTGTCCGAGCAGATAACAGAGGTGCAACCCAGCGTCTCCACTGACGGCAGGCTGCGGACGATGGCGTTCTTCCTGGCCATCCTCCTGGTGCCCAGTGCCAGGCAGGTAGTTATGACTGCTGGGAGGCCTGAGAAGACATGGTCAGAGGATGGTGATGAGAAAGCGACATATAGTCACATCTTCTAAGACCCTCGGAAGGGTCAGTTGTAAAAACATAGTATATACAATTGTATGAAGTGACTTTTCTGCACAGACAGATGTCTGACCTTCCGGTATGGCAGCTACAGCCAGTGCGACAGCAATCTTGAAGTAGTAAACAGCTCCTCTCAGCCAGCTGCCTCCATGGACCGGGTCATTGAAGTGTCCCACGTTGATGGCCCACACTGCCACACAGATCACACTGATCACCTGCAGGTTACAACAAGACATGTGTCAGGCAGAAAGGTAAATTCATTACATTATGGGCCCCAATTTATTAAGAATCAAAAAGTCCAAAATGACCCAAAGCACTCAAATACACAAAAAAACACAGGTGGTCTTTGCCTTAGACAGCTGTTCTCCAAACTCGTCTAGTTTCTGCTGTAGTGGGGTCCTTTCAGGGTCGGTGGAGGCCATCTCATCTCGGATTTTCCCAATCTCTGTTTGCACACCTGTTGCCACGACAACCCCGATGGCTCGCCCAGCTGCAATGTTGGTACCCTTGGGCAAAGGTCAGAAAGGGTAATAACTCAACTGCACATTGTGTGTTCTCCAACATACAGCAGTCAAAGCGCAATCTAATATTTGAGTGTACTTTAATAGCAGGTTCTAAAGTCGGCAGTACTCAGATCACCACGCCAACAAAAACAACTGGTGGGTCTGTAGTCTGTCAGAGTGATGGTGCTAAATAAAACATCAATAGCTGTTGTTCTTTGACCACAGACCACCTGGTGACTCAGCAGCCTTTGAGGCCTGACAGAGATAATATGACACACACCTCACCCATGGCTGCTTTGTCCCATCAAAAAAATGCTCATCTTCCCTCTCACACACTCTGGTCATGTCTGCTAAACTCTATCACACTGTTGCTTCTTTGTAGAGTCTATTTATTTATAGAGATATTCTTGTCATTTACAGCAACTATTTTCTATTTTCTTTCAGACTTTTTTGTTGATATCTTATCTCATCATATTTAACAAATTTTGCAGTAGATTAATTATGTATGTAGGAAATCATGTATGTCATCAGACCATTCCAACATTTTTGTGCATAAAACATAATGCTGGTAAGTAAGGCGATGCACCTTGTGTTTGATCCACCTAAATACAGCTCTAAGTGTAGAAAAGCAGATAAATGCTCTACACCACTGCAAGTCTTTTCTCTTAGAGCTCCAGAGCTCAGGTTTTAGGTGTTCATTGACTGCTGCCTAAGTAAGTGAGCAATATATTAAATTCAAATGAATTAAATATAAATCAATGTTTAAAAGAGGGGATAATTACTGAGGTAGAGATGTAAGGTAAACATATTTGTTCCAGCACTGTAGTTAAAGGATAGTACTGGCTTTAAGTCCTGCCCCTTTTTGCTCTGTGCTCCAATAACAGTTAAGCAAGCATTGGTTAACTTCCTCCTTTCCTGTACTTAGATATGCTGTGTGCTAGATAAAAGGCACAAATACTTACAGCTTACATCTCTTACATGTTCTGCTAACTTTATCTAACTTAAGATGTGTATATATGTCACTTTTATCTTTTAACCATCATGTGGTGCATTTGTTTGGGACTATTTCCAGCGGTGGATTAATCCACATTTGGTTCTCTAGTGAGTATTTGTGGAAGCAGGACGGTGTGTGTCGGGCTGAGTCAAAATAAACTACAGTGAGTATGTTCATGGTAGAAATGAACATGTCATCCAGTGCAACAGTGTGGCTTACAGATATGACATAAATATAGAATATTGCCAACTGTATCTTTCAAGTTAGTTTACTGAAACACTTTATAGCCTCATTCATCTCAGTCTTTTTCCTGGTGGTGTGTTTTATGTTTTTTGTATGTGAATTAGGAAAAGGTGTATGAATAAGAAAGTGAATTCCAAAAGACTTACAGAGAAGAGCATGTTCTTCTTGTCCTGGTTGACAGCTCGGGGATCTGGTACAGGGTCTGTGTGTTTGAGCACTGACACAGACTCCCCCGTCAGAATGGACTGGTCCACCCTCAGAGTGGTGGAACGGATGGACGTCAGCCTGATGTCCGCTGGGACCTTATCACCAACTGAGACAAAAAAAATTCTAATATAAGCCAAGAATAGTGAGAAACCTTAGATGCATCCAATACTTACTAGCCATTTGTGAACTTTCTATGGTTATTTTACATTGATATACAACCATACAACCAATATTTTTGTGTGCATTTACATACAAATCATAAACTACATTTGTGAATCCTTCTGCACAGATTCATCCAGACCCATTTGATTCCATACACTTTCACCTCCAATCTTCTGAGAAGAGAGTCTAAGCTTGTGGTGTGAATTGGCCTGTTTGGAGATGCAACTTAACAGACACTGTGGCTTAAACAAGCAAAGCACTTCACTTCTCTCCTTCCTGTCAAAGTTGTAAACGTGCTCCTCTGTGTGCAGCAGCTGCCTAGCAAACAGCCGTGTGGCCTTGTTACCTAGATCTGCTGTTTGCCAAAAACAGCTAAAATTACACGATTGACCAGTGCGGTTTGTCCTAGATCTGAACTAAAAGCTACAAAATCCTCCTTGCAGGACATGCAGTTGTTCCATCTGGATACATGGATGGCTGAGGGCTCAGAAGTCTACCACTAACTGACCTGCTCACGACACGCAATAGTGCCCGTCACATTTTATTGTAGACTCAGGATTTCAAGTTTTCCTGTTTTCCAGATTTCATGATTATACCTGTGGTCATGAAAAGCATTTACTGTATATTTTGGATTTTTGGTATGATATTTCCATTATATTTGGTTGTGGAAACCTACACAATATAGCAATATAGATAAAAAAGTTCCCTTCTTAAATGCTTTTGCCAAAAAATCTGTTCAAGAGATCTCGTAGAACCTTATACATGTTTAAAATATAGTCATCAAATGCCATTAAAATCAAGGCTATGACAGTAAGACTTTCTTTTCTGGCCTGGGCTGCAATCAGCTGCTCCAACAATAAACTTCAGTTATAAAAAAACAAAACAACAGAAAAGTAAAAGTCATAAGCCTCTGATCGATTAAGTTATTTTACTTTTATGAAACTCCACTAAACTGTCACGTTTCTATTGCAGTCTGAGCGTCATGGCGACAAGGACCGACCAGGGACCACTTAAGGCCAAATTACCTCATCAGAAATGAAATGTACCCTGTAGAGTTTTCGGTTTGGAACATTTTGAAGCCTGCATCGTAAAACTGATGATCAGCTGACCTTTGGTGGCCCAGCGCTACCTGTCAACTGTCGCATTACCTTTGGGCTTGTGTGCAAGTTGGTTAAATGCTTTAGTATCACTAGCACAATTACTAACACAAGACTCACTAATACACTTCTGTATTACTCCACTAGTGATCAAAAATCCCATAGGGTAGCATAAACAAACGTTAGTAGCACTTACACAGTCCGCACATGCACACTCCATAAACATTAAGTGCGCATGTGCCAACTGTGCATTCTGCCTTTTACAGTTAACAATTTCCCCCCTGGGATCAATAGTAGTAAGTATTTCTGATTCTGATTTGATGTCTCTTTCAAACTGAATCTGTGTCGCTCTTTTGAGTGACTTTGGTGAGGTTAATAATCGCTCAAAGAGCGTTTGTCTTGTTTCCCCACAAGGAAATCATGTGTTTGTGACATTAGCAAACATGTGTGCTTCATGCAAATAAGGACAGATTGCTACACACACAAGGTTAACATTCTTTCTTTTGGAAGAGCGCAGCCATTCATAAACTGTTTACAAGTGTTTATATATGTGAGTGAGTCAGAGAGACCAAGAGAGGGAAATTAAGAAATAGAGGCTGCACTGACATACCAACCCTTTGCTTTCTTCCATCATTGACTATATAAAAGCTCCACTGTGTAACATTTGGGGGGATCTATTGGCAGAAATAGAATATAATATTCATAGGTATGTTTTTATTAATGTAAACATATGTATCACATGAATGTAGGAATTGTTGTGTTTTCGCTACCCTAGCATAAGTCGTTTTATCTACAGATGCCACAAGTCGCCTTCCATGTTGAACTGCCATGTTTCTACAGTAGCCTCGAAGGGAGAAACCAAACACTGGCTTTAGAAAGGGGCATTCATGTTTTTCACGTGTTTCACAGTCACAGTAGTTTCACCGTCGCGTTTGGAGGGGGAGGGTGAAGCGAGGGAGTGCAATCTGCAACTGCAAAAAAGTCTTAGTGGAGAGATCTTAAAATGCCATCAATAAGCACAACACTAGATTGGACCTATTTGAATTGGTGGGAAAAACAGTGATGTGGGCAGCAATTCAGAGGTGTGGAACCAGAGCTACATTATATTGGCCAAAAACACAAACTACTGGCAGCTTCATTTAAAAAATGTACAAAAAGTCACATTGGCCACTCCATTATGCCAATAATGTTGGAGAGACTTTTACAGTGAGGCACATTAAACACAGCCTCTAGCTCTTTTTTGTTGTTCTAGCTCTGATTGGTGTCACCAAGTTCCCATGCTCTGGAAGTCCAATACTTTTACTACAGACAGAAGGGCACTGGATCACTAACACACACAAAGAAACACACAC